GTTCATTATTCTTATATTTTTGTGTATCTCTGATATATAGCCTATTGCTCTAATTGACTTTTGAGCCCACCTTAATAATCTCTTTTATTTAATCAATATTTTGTCTGTTTTCTTCACATATTTGGGCTTTCTGCAACTGTTAGTTCTATATTTCTTAGTGTTAGATGTTTATTTTTTGCCTTTCTTTGGACAATAGGAGTCACTTTCCTGCTTTTGTTTTTAAATTATTTCCAATTTTCCCTCCACTATTTAGAATATTACTCCATTTCTTGTAATAAGTATCCTTGATACTGCACAGTGCATACTTAAATAATTTAATGTAATAATAGTGCATATTTAATATCCAAAGTTAATCAATATCTTAAAGCTTTTGTTCTGAACAATTCACAAATGCTAACACACTAAAATTCTGGGAACCCTACCCCAATTTACATGTTATTTCTGTTCTCTACTTTAGTAGTTTATACAAAATATAGTTTCATCGTAGAAGAGGGCCTTTCAGAATACCTCCTCAGAGGTAAAGAAGCACAGATTTTTTTTCCCTTTGTTTCTGGATCCAGTTTCCCACTGTTGTATTGATGTTTCCTGGCTCACAGTTAACTCATCACTGTTTGGGTTCTTATTTCCAACTGCTCCCCAGCTCTTCAGCCTTAAATTTCTTCTCAGTAGACCTTTTGCAGAGATTCAGCAGATGAACCAAAGCACCAAACAGTTGCTGTAGTCCTCTTCCTGAGGCCATCCCTTGATAGTCTCTTGGACTCTTCCAAGGGATCACAAGATGTACCACTAATGGAGGAACCACAGATAAAAGAGCACAGAGCAGTAGTCTTACAGGAAATCCTGGAAATTTATAGTTTCAGTTATCTTCCTGTACAAATGATCTTTTGAAGCCTTGTCATATTCTGCATGGATCATTACTGAGATTTATACTGTATTTAAAGATTTTTTTTTCATACACCTTTACAGAGGATTGGGTCTTCTTGCTCTGGCTACCTATTACTTCTGCTTCTGGAAGTCTTTATAGAAGTTCTATTTTTTAGCACCCAGTTGTCACTGAAGAGCCCCAATTCTTACAGATTACCAAATAGTCTATGCTCTTTATTTTTTTTTAAAGTTTGTTTGTTTATTTATTTATTTATTTATTTATTTATTTATTTATTTATTTATTTATGATAGATATATATAGAGAGAGGCAGAGACACAGGAGGAGGAAGAAGTAGGCTCCATGCTGGGAGCCTGACGTGGGACTCGATCCCAGGACCCCAGGATCACGCCCTGGGCCAAAGGCAGGCGCTAAACCGCTGAGCCACCCAGGGATCCCCAAGTCTATGCTCTTTAAAAAAAAATCATATTGCATTCCTTCTTCTTCCTTTTTATCAGAAACTTCCATGAGCATACACATATAGTTAGAACAGGAACTGTTCATTACAGGATATCCTTACTTTTGCTGCCCTGACAAGAATTCTGTTTCTTCTTGTTATTAGGATAATTTACAACAATTGATGTCTAAACAGAGATCAAAACTCCTTGCCTGCTTCTCATGGCTTCCCCAAGAAGGAATCCCATTATTCCACCTACAAGGAGACATGCTCAAGTTTGGGAATATTTAATTCTGCCAAAACAAAGATTAGTGAGTACATAGGTAGGGCACCCATTTTTCAGCTTTTAGTCTGTTCCTCTCCCACAAATCATATTAACAGCTCAGGTGGCTAACATCACTAGAAATTTAAGGAGACAGAAAAAAAATTATATGTGTATTTCTGTCAGGAGAAGTTATTGTGGCTGGACAAAATACTTTGGTCAGCCAAGGGAGATGTTAAAGGTAAAACTAACTAAAAAATACCACTATGGAAAACTACCACATTATTAATGTGCACAGCACATAATAATTCACTATTTCTCAGTACAGCCTTTGTTCTATAAAACCGTCATAGGGTCAGATGAACTCTCATCTGGGTTGCTGTCCTTCCTGGGGTCTTGGTGAAATCAAAATGGCTTAGGAAGGTGTGCACATTAGCTTATTTTCCTCATGCAAATGGGCCATCTGGAGGTTGATGGTCTGAGATGAGAAGATTGGAGCAAATGGCTTCTGCCAACTTTGCAGAACTCAGTGGCGGCATTTTCTTGTTCACCATTTTGCTGCTCACTGGAAAGAAGGCATGTTTTATTAGACCCTTCGGTTGAGGTGGCTCTGGAGAAAGAGCATTTTTTAGCTTGCTTTGGTTCTAGCACTTTGATGTTAATCCACTAAATAAAACTCTCCATGGGGGTTCATTGGAGTTCACTAAATTCTGCTCTAGACTTTGAGGCCTAAATTCCAGATAATAAAAATATATTTTGCCTTGACTTTTTTCCATTTATTTCTTTCTCTTGGGTTATGCAGGATGAAGAGGCTGAATATTCCTTGGTTATTCCTAAACTAATGGCCAAAAACTCAAATATTACCATTTTGATTTCATAACTTTATTAGCATGTGATTTCATCATTTCCAGCACTCATCAATTTTCTTGAGTTGTTGATTACTTTATAGTTTCCTCCAAATATTATCTTTAAAATCCTGCCTCTTTATTCTCCAGAAACTTTTAGTTTTAGTACGGTACTCGAGAACATCAGTATTCAACGGTTACAAAATTCTACTGGGGATCCCTTAAGGGTAATGGGTGGACCAGCACTTGTGCCTCTTCAGCTCTTCAACCCTCTTGCTCCCTGCAGGTTCTTGCATGGGCCCTTCTGCTGCAAACTGCAGTTTGGCTCATGCTCAGGTTTAGGAGATAGCATGCCCCTCCATGAACCTCAGAAAATATGGCTTTTTACAAGGAAGCAGGGATTTAGTGTCAGCATATGACACTTTGTAGAGGAACTAACAATATACCACTGTGACATTCCAACAAATTGGACCAGTCTCTCAGATTTTCCCTCACATATAATGCTCTTTACAGTCTCTCACTTATTGCAGTAACACAGGTAAATCAGTGAATAAAGCCACTCTTTGGGGCACCTAGGTGGCTCAGTGGTTGGGTCTACCTTTGGCTCAGGTTGATGCTAGGTCCTGGGATTGAGTTCTGCATCAGGCTCCCTGCAGAGAGCCTGCTTCTTCCTCTGCCTGTGTGTCTCTTATAAATAAAATCTTAGAATAGTCACTGTTCTTTTACCTCCAGAATGTTATCAGCTCCCATAACTGGTACAAGAAAAATGATCTCTTGAGGCTATCTTTCCCACCCAGCATGAATTGTGCTCAGACCTTGGATCTTGGATCTAGACTTCAGAAATGTCTGCACATTAGGAGGGTCTTCTGCAAACCACAGGCACTGATCTTACCTCATCATGCCATGATTCCACCTTTGGCTCTGCTGGCCATGCCATGCCATGCCTCCCCCATCCTCATGGAAAACTACTCTGTACTCCCTGGTCTCTGTATGTATGATGTTCAGAACCATCGGGAATCTGAAACCTTGGAAAGTGAACAGATAAAATGTAAAAGTCCAGGGAATGTGGCTGCTGGTGTTATTTTCATTTATTCTGTGTCTATTTCCAGGACAATGGCTTACTGGTATTAAAGCTAATCTGGCCAACTGGAGTATCGTGGAGAATTGCCTCGTGGAGCGGTTAGGGTTGGGGTCTTGTTATCCTACCCATTTTCTCTGTACACACTGGCACATAATGGATTGAGAAATAGCTGAAGAAACCAGGCACAGAAGACAGTCTCCCTTCTCATGCTTTAATCCCATACCCTGTGCTCCATATATGGAGGATGCTCATCCAGTCCTTGCCACTCCCACAAGCAGAGCAGGTGAGGTTCTTAATTATTCAGCCTCATCTCCAAGGAACCTTTATCAGGCAACAGAGATCCTACTATCAGGCCATGAGATACTACTATTTAGTTCTTAATTACATAAAAATGAAATCACATAAGAAAAAGCAAACAACGCAAATACATGAAAGCCATTTACTCCTGGTAAATTCTTCAGGGTCCCAGTGCTGGGGTTCATAATTTTCCCTGATATCAGAGGACCAAGGCAGGGATGATCGGGGCTGGGTGTCAGTATAGTCTTGATGGCCTTAGCCAGCAGCAATAGCTTTAAAAAAATTTTTTTTTTCCATAATTTGGTCTCAGGTCTTCTTGGTTTCTTCATGTAAATGAAGTGACCCAGTCAATCATGATTCTGTAATTATTTTAGTACCTACGTGAGCTGACACTGTTCCAAAATCCCTTCACAAACCCACGCGAAGAGGGCAGGATGGGCAGGCTTGTACACATGTGGGAATGTAGATATTTTGTTATGATTTCATTATGCTTTACTGAATCCCCCAGCACCCAGCTGTTACACCTCACTTGTAGTAGAAGTGCTGGGGGCAAAACCAAGAGGCGGTAGAACAGTAGGAAGGGTGGGCATGAGTATTCTAATAGGAAAACACCCTGCATGAAGAGGGGCTTCTGACTAGGTCCTCCTTTCTAGCAGGGCCTGGCACCTGGTATTTTGGCAATGGGGAAGGGAGCAGCCTGACAAGGTCCATATGAAACAGCCTCGAGGTTTTCCCCCCATCAGACACTTCTCCCATCTCTCCCCAGGACTGAAGGAAAGTGCATGGTGAAGAAGTGGACCAGTGAGAGATTTGTAGAGTTATCCCGTTGAGTGTGTGGCAGAGCCATCAGGTACAATCTCCTGCCTGGAGTTCAGGGCTGTGTGCTTTAAGATTTGAGCCCAGTAAGGACAGGATCCTAGAAGCCGGTCCCTTACCAAACCTAAAGGGCTGTCCCTGGGCGACTTTATACTTGAGGCTGTGGAGCAGTCTTTAGGATATGCAACAGCCTACTTTGGGGAAAATATAATAACCACAACCTTGGAAGTCTTTTAAATCTCCTACTTCATACCCATGAGGTAGAGGCAGGAGCACTCCAGTCAAGAAAGAGCCTCCACCCAGGTTGTACTTTGGGCAAAAAAAAACAAAACAAAACAAAAAAAAAAAAACAACTCCTTGAGGTGTAGGAAGCTGAGAGGTTCTGCCTAGGGGATTTTATTTAGCTGTGGGAAGAGGTGATGTAGATCTGGGCAAGTCAGGGAGACTCCCCGGAAAAGGTCTTCCCAAGCTGACAAGAGGGCTTCTCCTCGCCTTCCCTGGGAGGGCTGAATGCAGAACATGGGGACCTAGCTAGGAGGTCTTTTCTGAATGGGTCCTCTGATGCCTGATTAAGTGATAGCCCCTGCTGAAACTTTTTCCACAGGTAGGGCATGTGAATGGTTTCTCGCCAGTGTGGGTTCTTTGATGCCTGACAAGGTGGTCCCTCCGACTGAAACTTTTCCCACATTCATTGCACCGGCAGGGCCTCACTGAGGCATGTCCTCTTAGGTGCTTGGCAAATGCGGCACTGTGGTTGAAGCAACGCCCGCACTCGCTACAGAGATATAGCTCCTCAGCCGCGTGTGTCTTCCGGTGTGCCAGGTAACGCCTGTGGTCACTGAAGTCCTCTCCACACTCTCCACACAGGTAGGGTTTGCCACCAAGGTGGATTCTTTGGTGTGTTGTCAGCACAGATTTCTGGCTGAAGCTTTTGCCACAAATAGTACAGAAGAAGGGTTTTTCTCCTGTGTGTGTCCTCTGATGCCGGACAAGGTCTGAGGTCCAGCGGAAGTTTTTTCCACAATCGTCACATCTATAGGGTTTCTCAACCGGTGGAGTTCTCTCAGCCTGAGCCAGAGGGGAGGTCTTGTCCAAATTCTTCCGGTTTAGGGGAAATTTATAAGGAGTGCTCATTTTGTGAACCTTCTGGTGCCTGGCAAGATGTGAGCTCCGCGTGTAACTTTTTCCACACTCCATACATTTATAGGGTTTCTCTCCTGTGTGAGTTCTCAGGTGTCTAACAAGGTGTGAGTTACAAGTGAAACTTTTCCCACATACAGGACAGTCATGGTGTCTCCCTAACAGGGGGTGGATAGGCATGGTTTCTTGAAGACTCGATAAACTATTAACTTGAGAAATATTGGTACCAAATCTTTCGTTAAGTCTATTTGGATCATCCTCAAAGACTATTTCCCAGTCTGGAGTCTGGTGAATTTCTGGATCTCCCAAAATTGATCTGTGTAGATTCTCCAAACTTAGATCTTCCTGCTCAAGATATTCTTCATCTTCACTCCTATCTCCTATAGAGAGGATAAGAGAACAGGAGAAATTATAGAGATGATGATGCCTTCCACACAACGGCGGGATTTTTAAACAGTCTTGGAAAGGCAAGACCACATAGAGAGAAGCCCATGTTTCATAACTGTTGAGGCTGGGAAAGAAGGAAATAACCAGTCAACTGAATTCTATTATGTGCCAGGCACTTTCTTATATGTTATCTCATGCTGTTGACAAGCCTTAGGGTGGACAAGGACTGTTATCCTCATTTCACAAATGTGGACACTGAGGACCAAGAGTTTAGGTGACCTGCTTAGTAGATGACTACAGCTGCGTTCCCAAGTTCCCGTTTATCTTTTCTCACCATTTTGCATGACATGTCCCTCACAAGAACGATGGGAGGGGAAAGAGGAGGATGAGGACAGAAGAATCTGGCATTCAGAGGGAGACAGGGGTAATGGCCAACAGGTTAGAAGAACCGATGAAGAGGGGCACCCCAGAGGGAGAGGGGAAGTGCCAGCTCTGCGGGGGAAGATGCCTTTTGTATTCCTCACCTGTGTAGGTAAAACTCAGGATTTCGGGCTCTTGAGGCTCTTGAGGCTCTGGGATATCTGGGACCAAAGGCTCTTCCTCTCTAACGTGGGAGATCTCATCTAGTCTGGGGATTGGAAATGCTGCTCAAGAGAGGGAAAGCGGGACATTATGATTGGTTCAGCAATTCCCTGAGTTAAGAGCAGATCTTTGCTGTCGGGTAGACTGTATAGAACAAATGGACAGCCTGGTCAGTGGATCAAATCTGGTCTTTTTAGCTCGAGCACCTCTCACCAAATCCTGCATATTTCTTGCCCTTCGTCTGCAACTCAATAATCAAGGATTGCTAATACGCCCTCTTTTCCCATATTCAAGCAAGCAGATCATCCTCAACTTCTATTGCTTGTTCCAAAACTCACATGCTACCTCAAATACGCTAAAGCTGTAACATAACTTCACTTTATTAGAAGTTTCCAACCACTTTCTAGGCATCTCTTCCCTTTAACTTGGAAGGATATTGTCTTCCTTAGCTAATCCTTCAATCTCACTGGTGGGGCAGGCATAAGAGAAGCGTGGTGCATACAGTCTAAGGTCTAAGACCCCCACAGTTTCCAATAGGAGAAAGACCTCTGGGCTCAGAACACTCTAGAAAACACTTGAAATTCCTTACACAAAGAGACCACAATTCCACAGTCTTCTTCCAAGACATATTCTCCATAGAACTCTTTCTGTGCTGGATCCAGATCGCTCCACTGGTCCTGGGAGAAGCACACAGCCACGTCCTTGAAAGTTACCAATCCCTGAAACGACACAGACTTCAGTTGTAACAGGATGCTTCCTGAAGCTCCTAGTTCATTCATGGAATGAAGGTTACTCCAGAAGACAAAAAGAGCACACACAGGACCCTGGGGGCCTTTTGGGAAACCTGCTATACCCTTGGCTACTGCTACCCGACTTCCTACTTTTGCATTTCCAACTTCCTCCTCTGGACCCCTCAGTTCCACTGCTTTCTCTCAGGGCCAGCCTCTGCTCTTCTTCTTGAGCATATTGATTAAAATATATAAGAAAAGTCTTAAAAGTCCTCATTAACTCCCTATTTGATGCTTTGATGCCACCTACATTTGTGCAAAAATTCACCTTTTCTGGAGAGCTCTCCCTAACTGACCTCCAGCCACCCCCGTCACCTACACCGTTGGCACAGCACACACAGGACCTTCTGCCATAGCGAGACTATAACCCAAAACCACAGATGTGTTCTATTCCTTTCCTCTCCAGTCTCAGTTTAGTGACCTGACCATGGTGAGAGCTTCCTACGTGGCAAGGCCTGAGTGCAGTCCCTGCCAGTGGACACCACACAGTTCCAGAAGTCATTTCTGAAGCAGACAGCCATTCTTACAAATGACTATCAAGTTCACTACTATAAAACAAAAAACAAGCCCTCATTCGGCAACTTCTGGGTTGTAGTGCAGTGTCGTAGAAGAACCCCTTTGGGCAACTGCGTGGCTCAGCAGTTGAGCGTCTGCCTTTGGCTCAGGTTGTGATCCCTGGGCCCTGAAATCGAGTCCCACATTGGGCTCCCCGCAGGGAGCCTGCTTCTCCCTCTGCCTATGTCTCTGCCTCTATTTCTCTCATGAATAAATAAAAATAAACATATAAATAAAAGAATCCCATATTGTTAGTTCTCCTTCTCTGGGCAGGGGCAAATAGAGGCTCCGGAGCCTGCAGATCCAACTGAGACTGTTGTAATTCCTCCCACTGGATGCAGACACATCTAGAACTGAGAACCTACGTTGGCAAAAGCAGAGTAGAAATTTGTGTCCTGTCCGACCTGTTCAGTGTACAGCTAATGCCTGGTGGTTCTTCGAATTCTCTGCGGCACAGACTTGGACAGAAACTAGAGCACACCTGTGAAAGAGCTGTAAGAAGGGCAACCATCTCTGGGTTTCCGGCATTCCTCTCTTCAGGAAGGTCTGGGTCCTGGGACACTGGAACCTCTACGAAGAAAAGGCAGCAGAGATGAGTGATGTGCAGCGTGCCCCTGTAACTGGCAAACAGCTCTCATCCTCTTTGGTAGGAATCAAGAAGTTGGTCTAAGGGCAGCTCAAGTCATCCCAATGTCACCATCTGGAACTCTACTGAAATGCCAAGAGGACACCCAAGGATTGGTTGGCTCCTCAAGCTTGGCCCAGTTTCTGGGGGAACTCTAGCTACTATTGTCTCAACATCCTGAATTCTGATTTATTCCCACTCTGCTCCACCTAGCCTCCTTCATAGGCGGGAAACATCCCCATTCCCACACTCTGCCTGCCACAATGCCCCCTTTCTGTTGAGGCTTCCCACCGCTCTCCCGCAGGGGCTGGAACTCCAATTCATGGCAGAGGCTCTGCTCTTCTGGTGGCCTCAGATCTGGGCTCTGGATGGTCTCCTCACGGGATGCCTCAGGAAGCAAGGTATGCACAGGGTTCTGCAGCTCGCAAGGTGACTCGGGGTCTGCTCCTGGATGTATGGTCTCCTCTGACAGGACCTCCTGGCCATGAACATGGACAGTCACCTGGGAATAATTCCAATTTCCAGTCAGCATGGAGTCAAGAGGAAAGTCTCAGTTGACAACAGGGCTTATTTTAGGGAAAGCTACCAACAGAAACACTCTCAGAGGATCCCAGGAGAGGATGGGAGTCTCTGGTTCCATGGAGGCATGCAAGAATTGTTGAAGGTTCTCTTCATTAGGACAAGGCAGGGACGTTTAGATGCTTCACGGCTTCCTCACTCCCCTCAGCCTACTCCTATCACCCATGGCTCTGAGATACCGGTCCTTCCCATCTCCACCTCTCCCACCTGTAGCTCTCCTTGTGGTTTGTTTCCTTGTCATATTGTCCTGGGAGGGGGATCTGTGCCCAAGAGTCTAGAACCTTTGAGGAAGTCACAAAATTGGCCTCCCCAGGAACTGGAGGTTCGATAGCCAAAGAAAGGAAAACCAAAGCTATATGACCCTGCAGTGCTAAGGGCCCTAAGATGGTCCTTGGCAGGTGTTTAAAAAAACCAGAAAGTCACACTCACTCACTCACACACACAGACACACACACACATTCCTGCCCCTAATGGATCTAGGGGCAACCCAAGAGCAGAGCCACTTAGCTTTAAAGGGTAAATGATGGGGACTCTGTATGCTCTACCCCAAAATCCATCCTTCCAGCAAATAGTCCCCCTCCACGTCACACAGATCAGGACTCCCCCTCCTCACCCACCGCCTTGGTCTCCTGGGTTGTTTCTGCAAACCCTCCACCAGCGTCACTGCCTCCTCGCCACTCTCTGGCCGTTGGCCCCGCACCCAGCTCTGCAGTTCTCCAGGCAAGACAGTAAGGAATTGTTCTAGCACGAGCAGCTCTAGGATCTGCTCCTTTGTCCGTCTTTCTGGCCTCAGCCACTGATGACAAAGTTCTCGCAGTCGAATGAGAGCTTCTCGGGGGCTTGATGCTTCCTGGTAGCGAAAGCGCCGGAAGTTCTGGTGTGAGGTCTCAAGCACAGGGTCATCTCTCTGTAAGACAGACTCTGGCCTACAGGTGAAATCATCTTCCAATTTCACCATCAGAATTCCCTCTTCTTCCCAAAGATCCTGGTCCTCTGGTTCCAAGGCTGTAGCCATTGTTTGGCTCTGGGCGGGGGTAGGGATCTCACACCATCTAGAACTCACACTGTCATTACCCCCCAGTCTCAGCCTGGGCACCTCAAGGAGTTTCTCCCAAGGGACCTGGGGCAGAGAAGTAGAGACAAACAACAGTATAAGCAGGAGGTTATGCACAGGGATGACAATTCTGAGTTCTCCTAACCCCACACACATAACACTTCCTCACATTATTAAATCCCCTGCTCCTGATCTCCGCAACCATCAGCTATAAATAAATTTGGTTGAAATATGATGATCTAGGCCTCATCCTGGATGAGGTTTCCTAGGCTGGGTTCACACCCCCTAGAGAAACAAAAAAACTGCATCTCTACTTCATGAACACTGTCAATCTGCAAGGAAAATGGCGAGGACAAAGGACACCGCTCATCGCCTGCTAGAACACGTGGTACTGACCACCATCTGTGTCACACACGTGTTTACATATACAGCAGGATGTGTGTTCTGAGAAGACACACATCAGTCAGGCTGAAACAGATGGGGAAGCCTTTATGAAAGTTCATTTCAAATTGAACCACACTCAATTTAACTCTTCTGTAAAATGGGAACTCTCAGAGATTTGACGGGGAGCTTGTACGAGGTAAGAGTGAGGAAAGCCCTTTACACGGCTGCTGGTACACAGGCGCCCCCAAAAGCGATCTCCTGCTCATTAAGACATCTTAAAGGGAAGACCTCCAGATCCTCAAACCCAAGTGTTCAAAATTGAATTCAGGATGCTGACTCCCAAATTCACCCCTCTTCCTGGGATCCTGTCTTGGCTGAGATCATCATTTGCTAAGTAAACACTCAACTCTGTAATCTTTGGACTGATTCTTCCCCATTGCTTACAGCTCATTAAACCAATTCTACCTCTTAAGCCTCTAAATCTGTTTCCTCCTCCTTTGCCACAGACTGCTTTAGTTTGGGCCCTCAGCTCTTGCCTGGGCTACTGCCATAACTTCCTAACTGGGGTCCCTGCAGGACTCAACCATGAGTGCAAGGCAGCATAATTATGGTGGGGTTTTTGCAAAATAACTATCATTCAACACTTTTCTGGATCCTTGGGATTTGGTCAATGGAGGCAACTGTGTCTTTAGAAATGCTAGGTGTGGTTTTGATGTGTCTGATGAGAAGCACCCAAGCTGTGTAAGGCAGGAGTGAGAGTCCTGGTGTCAGACTGCCAGGGTTTAATTTTGGCCTGTGCTATTTCATAGATGTGAAGCCATAGTTAAGTTTCTATGCCCCCTTGCCTGTTTGCCCATTTATGGCTTGGAGGTAAGAACAGTATCCATATAATAGCATGACTATGAGGATTAAACATGTCACTATCAGTACCATGCTTAGAAGAGCAATGGCAACCCAATGTTAAATATTATCTAAATTACAGTGCACAACTGCACATTCAACATTTAAAAATACTCTGTTAGTTAAGATCAGCTATAAAATCCTTGGCATGGTACATGAACCGCTTCACAATCGCCCCTCAGATGATTTTTCAAGCCCCATATCCCACCCTTTGCTGTGTTATCAACGAGCTAGAAGGGGTACGTTGCTGACCTTCCAACCAAAAGGGGGTGTCTTTTCACGTCACCATGCCTGTAGGAAGGCTGTTCCTTTTAAATGCAACATTCACACCCCCCAACCTCCAATGCCGCATGGTGTGTTCCATTTCTTAACATGTCCCCTCTTCTTCACTCCCATGATTTACACTGTAGGTCCTTATCAGTTCTTGTCGGGATTACTCCAACCGCCTCCAATCGTGAGCTACCTGCCTCCAGGTTTGTTCCCTGCAAGTTACCAATGACAGTATCACAAGAGTGACCAGCACTCTGGGCAAATGGAATCATGTCCCTCGCCTATTTAAGATCTTCAACCATTCCTCCTTGTCTTAGAAGTGAAAAGCAAACTCTTACGTATTGTATATTAAGCCGACTTTCATCTTGTTAACTTTCACCTTCTCTTCAACCCTTTCAAACAAACACACACACAGACACACAGAGTGTGTACATGGGAAGAACATACAAGCCCTATGCCCTTTTGCTTTACAGCATGTTGTTCTTTCTGATTCTTTACCCTTCATTAGGTGAAACTTTACTTATAAGGCAGCTCTGACTTCAGGTCTCTCAGATGTTTTGATTCCATTCCCCCTACCCGTAAAATGGTTAGAAACCAATGTAGAATCACTTCTACAGCAACCTGGGCACGCCTCTCTCACAATATCTGCGGTATTGATACTGTGATACCACAGATCCACAGTTTCTCATTCCTGAGAAACTCCTTAAAGTTAGGGCCTTCAAGTTAGGTTTTCGATCAATCTCCACCACATATAATAAAGTGCCTACTAAGTGAATTTAAAAGAATAAACCTCCACTTTAAAATTTTCTTCCTGCTTTTTATCAGGGAAGAGCCCACCTTTCCCTCCACTGTTTCTACTTCTTTTTAAATTCACGGGTCTTGTTAATTCCTCCAAGTGTCTTTCAAATTCATCCATCTCATCTCTACTCATATCCCTTGTTGAGTCATTATGAACCACTGAAAGGTAGTAACAGGACTCTTTGAGAACGGGACCATCCCCTATACCACACCGGCCTTAACAGGCACTTGCATGTTGAATGAATGACTTGGTTCAAGTTTCACCCCTGCTCTTCCGGGTCCTGCCTTCTCTAGAGCACTCTCTACATTCAGCCTGAGGGATTCTTCGTTTTTCTGTCTTTTTGGGCTTCATTACAAGTCTAAGATGCACATTCAAGGTTAACAATCCACCCTTAAGAGCTGGGTCTAATGTGATGCTGCCCATCAAACTGACTGTAATTTCAATGACCCTATTATTGATCTTATCATCTCTATCTCAAATGGCTCTTCATTCATTTATGATCTTATTTCTCTTCCTTCCAGGACCCTCAAATATCCACTACATTCTTTCATAGTCTGCTTTAAAGAGTTCTCGAATTTTCTAGATCTTTATGTGGTAATTTCCCTACCTATTGAATCTGCTGTCTCTACCTCATGATGGTCTGTTTTCTACACGGTTTGTAGTTTTTAACATTTTATGTCCACCTTCAGTGAGACTTTTTTTTTTGGGGGGGGGGGAGGTCCTGAGAGAAGATGGAATCAATAAGTCTTTTGGCTTAATGAAGGGATCTCAATTATCTTCAAAGTCTGAGAACCCATGCCCAGGGAAGCAGACTAGAAGCTCTCCTTGTTTACACATAGCACTGGCTACCAGAGATTATCTACTATGGAGTCTATAAAAGTTCTGCATTGACAGAAGCATTTCTGCTCTCATGGGGCTTTGCTCTCTAAAGAAAAATGAACCTGCCATTTCTAAATCATCTTCAGAAATCATGAATTGAGGTTCCCATTGCTTGTTTTGGATTTACTTTGGCAGCTTAGGAAGAGATGATGGCAAATAGATCAGCAATAGTGAGATGGAGGGCAGAAGAGGAGTCCCCAGTGGGGCGAGAGATGGGAAGGAATGGGAGGCAGGTGGTGCCATGGACAGAACACTGGATTAGGTATCCAAAGATGTGGGTCCCAGCCCCACATCCTTAAGTAACTGGAGCAGCTCTAAGACTTCCATGAGATAACACACACAAGAGCCCTTGTAAAGGGGAAAGCCCTCTCCTAACTCACAGGATTAGATGAACTGTGTGAGCTTATGAACTAAAATGTGCTGTGTGAATGTCAAGTGTATTAGAAAGAGAAAACGGACATTGTTTTATTCTACAGTTTGTGGGATATGGTACACTGTAAATTCACCTTGCAATCTGTTGCCTTAGCTATTCTGATACCTTCCCTCAATGTCTGTCTTGGAAGGGTTCCATAATGACGGATAAAAACTGAAGAGGACTATATAGAGACTGAAGCCAGGCCAGCAAGGGCATAGGACTTGGTTCCAGAAAGCTCTGAAACAAGGTCTACAGATAGGCTTCATGAGCCTAGGGCTGGGTGAGCTCCATGACCTAGTCTCTTGAGTGTGTTTCTAGGCTGTATGAAGCAGGACTGGGGAGATGTGGAAAAGACAAAGGCCTTCTCTAGTCTTTGGTCCAGTTACCTCTGCCCCTTATCTGAATGTGTCACATGCCAGTGAAAGCGGTAACTCCATTCCATTGACAAGAACAGAAAACTGCAGGCAATGAAAGGATATCTGGTTCCCTACCTTAAAGTCTTATTACTTGCAGAGAGCTTTCTGAACCCTGAATGACGACAAGTTTTGTGGTCATATTAGTGTCTACACAATGGAGAGACAGTGATCTATTTACTGGCAAATAATCTTCAGTAGTAACCAGAGAGGTTCAAATGATAACATTTAGCAAATACCTATTTCCCTTCCTGTCTCCCATTCTATTTTTTACCCTAATGCTGGCCCATAACCTGGAAATCTGGATACGTCTGTACTCTGGAGCCAATCAGACCTTCCAAATAGTCCTCTCATTGTTCTAGAATAGAAATCACCTAATAAAAACTGTTAACTGCCCTGTTCTAATGTTATATTTTTTTCTTAGAGAGGGAGGGAGGGAGAGAGTGAATGGTGAGGGCTAAAGGGGGAGGAACAGAGAGACTCTTACAGGCTTTACACTCAGCATGGAGCCCAATGTGGTGTTCCATCTCATAATCCTGAGATCATGACCTGAGATGAAATTGACAGTCGGACACTTAACTGACTGAGCCACCTAGGCACCCTGCTGTATTCTTCTTTAAAATGAAAGATTATCTGGGGACGCCTGGGTAGCTCAGTGGTTGAGCCTCTGCCTTTGGCTCAGGTTGTGATCCTGGGGTTCTGGGATTGAGTACTCCACTGGACTCCCCGCAGGGACCCTGCTTCTCCCTCTGCCTGTGTCTCTGTCTCTCTGTGTGTCTCTCATGAATAAATAAATAAAATCTTTTAAAAAAATAAAGATTATCTAGTATGATCCTTCTACCAGAAAAATGATCTTTTATGGTTAATTATCCTGTATACAAATGTTTATCCATGCTTTCCACATAATGGTCTGGGGCTTTGTAACCTTGGGTTTGGATCCATTTCCTGGTTTACTGGCTACGTGACACTTTCTAAGTCTTGGTCTTGTTTTCAAAATGTGGCTATACTACAAATCTCCCATGGTTGTTTTAAGGAGTGAATGAAGTAATGTATAAAATTACTGCAGCTTAGAGACTGGTAGAGTAAGTAGATGCTCAATATATTTTGTTCTCTTCCTTCAAATTGCTTTAAATCCTTTTGGGAAGAAGGAAAGATTTAAACAATAAACAAGCAAACAGTCCTTTATTTCATTGTAATTCCAAAAAAATTTAAATGCACAGGAAAAATATTGGTCTGTTTCCTGTTATATCAAAAGCAAAGTATTAAAGTGAAAGAAGAGTCCTTGCTTTGAAGGACTTATCAGCTAAAATTAAACAAGACTCTTGGAATACAGATAGAACCTTAGAGCTAGGTTCTCTTGTCCAAGGCCATACCAACAGTGCTTCTACTTACCAATGTCACAGTGCTGTCTCCTCTCTCTACCTGGGAAGAGGCAATCTGGGGCAAGCCCAGTTAGTACAGCTACTAAATCCCTTGAAAACTTAACCCAGAAGGCCAGAGAAATGAAAGAGAATGCATTCACTGACTTTTGGTCTTCTAACACATCATGATCAGCATGCTTCAAACCATATTTAAAAACTGTTTCTCTTAAGTTTTTTTTTGCCATTTACATAGTTCCTTCATTAGCTTCAGCATAAAATATCTGGGTGACAAGGGGAGGAGTGGCTCAAAGCTTATTACAATGGGTTTCAAAGAAACAGAGTAAGTTGGAGTGAAGGGGAAGACAGGAAGAAACAAACAGAGGCCAAATAAGTAGTGGCAGTGGGTGGTACAAGAAATCAGTGGGAGCTAAGACACGAGTATCTTTTGCCCTGAAATTCTGTAGTCTTTGTGGTTAGAACCAAGGTATAAGGTGGGTATAAAAACGTGATTGAGTAAATATAAACACAAATACTGTGAAATAAAGCTATAAAAACAGTAGCAATTCACTTTATTTTTAATGAAAATCTTTTCTATACGTGTGGACCACAGGCCCAGAAGGCCATGTTGGACTGCTGGCAGTTCTGCCTTTGGAGGCACGCAATCTGTGCTCTACCTCAAGATGTACCACCTTGGAAATGGGAATGATTCTCCACTTAAAGGCAGAGAGCTGGACCATCTTTTGAGAAACCATCTTGCTTTGTAATGGTGATAAGAGGGACTTGGAGAGGAACAAGGATGTATGGCTTCTTTATTGAATACCTGGGCCATAATGTATTAGCCTAAAATGGTGAAAAGGATTTACTCAAGAGTTTAGATGGGCTAGTAGCCAAAGACAGATTCTAAGAGTCCAGAATTGGGTATCTGGCCATCCAGATGATACTGGTTAACCTCCAACACGAAGCTAGGCTTTCTAACCTTAATGGTTACCTAGAGGTGGTTAATGCCTTAAATAAAGCAGGTCAATCTACAGGCCTCAGTTTAAAATAGAACATCACAAATTAATCTGAAATGGGAAAAGGGCACTCATCAAAACTGATACCCATCCTGATGAGGGTGTCAGCTCCCATGTTGCAGCCAGAGTTAAACTAGCTGTACCTAATTCATTACTACAATAAACACGGTCAATGCCAATCACATGGACGGTCAGAGGAACCATTATTTAATGACAAATAACAGGAAAATATATCTTGTAACTAGAGCCTGGCCCGAGGAGTAAATATGGGTAATTCAGAACAGTCAATTCAAGAGTCTTATATGATGATAAAAGATGGGACCCATGCCTGCTGGGCCACAGGAATCAGAAGAGTAGCAGGTTTCCACTGCAGATTAAACCATGGTCCAAATAGTATAAGTCATCCCAGGATGGCAAGGATCTCTTAATACATTGTTATATTCCGAGTGCCTAAAACTTTGTCAGACGCTTGGTAGAAAAGGTGCTCAGTAAATAAAGAGGTGTTGAATTTTACCTATTTCTCTCACTCCAACTTGGATACAGATGCACTAAAATTCAAAATCAGTGGGTGCCGGGGCTTTGGTAATAAACCACTCACAGGGTCAGTTTTAGGAATTTCGCATTGGCATTTATCCCAATCCACTGGGGGAATTAAGTTGGCATAGCCATACACTGCCTGGCAATGTGGCACAGAACTTCTTCAAAGGGAAGAGAACAGGGTTACTCATTCTACAAATATCTACTGAGTATTGATTGTGTATCCCACACAATTCAGGGTGCTGGGCAGAGAAGACAAGGAGAAAAGCCCTGGCTCAGACCTTAAAGAATGTAAAAAGCAGTTAAGAAACAGCAGGGACTTTAGCATACTATCAATTTGCAATAAAAAACTAGATACAGATATAAGCTATATGGTCAAAATGGAAGCTCCTATTGAGAGAATTAAGAAAATCCAGGGAAAAACTCATCACTATTTCATCTTCCATTTGGCATAAGATCACTAGCATTTGGAGGGTTTTTTTTCTTTTTAAAGTACACTTTCTTAACTTTAAAAACGAAAGAACTCAGACCTACGTGGTTAAATTATCCACACGAGATCATATTACTAGTTTCTAACACAGAAGTGCACACACAGGTCTTTTGATCCCCCAAACCACTGCACTGTTTATGTGAAGGAGATTGGCCAAAGGCAGTGGTTCTCTGTGTGAGAAACCTAAACCAGCAGCACGAGCACCTAAAGACTTGTCAGAAATGTGCAAATTTTCAAGCCTGGGCCCAGGCCTATTATCAGAAAATCTGGGGATGGCCCCAGCAATCTGCTCGACAAGCTCTCCCTTCAGGTGCTCGAGATGCACGGGTGAGTTTGAGAGCCAGTACCTAAGGCAAAGGAAGTAAACCCGAGGTTCAAGCAGAAAGCATCCAACTTTTCCAGGGCTGGCCAAATTTACAGGAGGGTTTGCAAGAGTCAAAAGAGTCTAGGACTGTTGTTTCATGCCTGTGCCAAATTAACTGGAAAACAATGTAAACCTGTAACTTACCTCATCTGTATAGTTTGTAATGCCCAAGAGTCCCTCACATCGTGTAGTAAACCTTGCTGTGCCCTTGAAATGACTGTCTACTGCAATATAGTACTTAAAAGAGTGCAAAAAGGGGTACAGCTGGAGGAGAAAGGGGGAAAGATTATGAATCCCAGGTATTTGGTCCTAAGAGGAAAAATCCCCTCCCTCCCTGTCTCCCACCCTGCCCACCCGCTTAGACTAGAAGGTATCAGCAGAAAGTTACCCAAGACACAGGGCCACAAACCCTAACTGCTTGGTGGTCACCTACTTCCCACCGACATGCCTCCCGATGGCTTTCTCACCACCCTTCTTTAGGGGCTTTCTGGACCAAGCCCGCGGGGCAACTTGGAAGAGAAGCTGGGAGGAGGGAAGGGGAGCGGGGAGCGGGGGGAGCTCCACTACTAGCTTTCCGTGGCTCGGGAGGAGGAGGAAGGCTGCCCTGGGTGTCCCTGGGTGTCCCCTGCCGTGTGTGCACGGAGAGAGCAAGCAACAGTTCTAACCCTCAACACCCCCCCACACCCCCACCCCAAGCCGGAGCCTGGATGCGGCGGCAACGCTGTCCAGGACCCAGGCGGCCAAACCCCGGCTAGGCCTGGGAGCCTGCCCTTTGGGGTGGTCAGCCCAGGGCACCCGGGCAGAGGCAGCGCGGAGGTCGCGGCGCCTGGGACACGAGACTCTCCGATGGCCAGGCAAATAAAAATCGGGCTGACACCCGAGAGAACGCAGAAAGCACCTCCGTGGCACACGAACTAACAAACTTTTGGTCCCAAGCAGACGAGCCGCCGAGGCCCCGCGCACTCCTGCGGTGGGTACGGGTGGTGCCGGGGAAGTGCCCAAACTGGGTGCAGAGGGGTTGGGGCGGGGGAGGGAGATGCAGGTGGAGACAGAAGCTGGTAGCCTCAGGGGAAGCGAGGGGTCGGTCACAGGGCAGCTGAGAAGCCACAGGCCAGGCAGGCGGTGTCCGAGGCGGTAAGACCGCGGCGGAGTGTGTTGGGGGGGCGGGGGGGGGTGATGGTAAGTGATGGGGCTTGCCGGGGCCGGGAGGGCCGGGGGGCGGGGCGCAGAGGGGTGCTCCTCGGCAGTCTGGAAGGCGGGGTGAGGAAGGGCTGGGGGGTAAAGGGGCCCAGAGCACCCCCCTCGGTGCCGGGGGGCCGGCAGGCGCGGCAGCCGCGGGAGGGACGAACCGGCGGCGTCTCCGCAGGCCTCGGGAGGGGGCGGAGGGCGGCGGCCGCACCGAGGAGAGCCCGGAGCGCCCCCCGCGTCCCCGAGGCCCGAGCCCCGGCCGCTGCAGCCCCGGGGACCGCCACGCCCCGGGCCCCTCACCACCCCGCAGCCGCCCCTGCTCCGCGGCAGCGCGATGTCCCCATCGCTCCGGGGGGCGGGGTCTCAGCCTCCCCCTCTCCACCCCCCCTTCCCCGCCCTGCCCGGCTCTGCGCGATCCGGCCCGGCCCGGCCCGGCCCAGCCCCTCAGCACTCACGGCTCCGACAGCTCCGGCGGCTCCTCCCCTGCCCCGGCTTCTCCCCCACCCACTCCCGGCCGAAGCAGCGCCGCCGGATCCGAGCCGCGCGGGGCCTGGCGGGTCGGAACACGTGGGGCCTTTGCGCCCGGAACCGGAAGCCGCGCTTCGCCCCGCCTCCTCGCGGCGCTGGGGCCCTTCTAGGCGCCGGGAGGTTTGGTCTCTCGGTGCGCCCGGCGCGGGTGGAGGACTGCGAGCTCCGCGGGGACCCGGGCGGGAAGCCTGGGGCCCGGCCGCTTCCGCCCGCCCCTCCTGCGGCTCGGGGCCTCCTGTGTCTGCACTTACATACCCGCTCCTCCGCGTCGGATCTTTGCTTTGATTGTTGACATCTGTACCTCTGCTTGTTTTTCTTGGTTGTGCGTGAAGCGCGGTAGCAAGGAGAGCAGTTGGGCTTTGGCTCTTGCCTTCGCCAGCAGCTGTGTGGCCGCGGGCGAACCCGCCACCCCTCCACCCGCCCACCCGCCACCCCTCCACACCGCCACCCCTCCACCCCCCCGCTCCACCCCTCCACCCCTCTCCACCGACGCCACCCCCGCCACCCCGCAGCCCTCCACCCCGCCAAGCCCCTCCACCCCTCACCCCGCACCCCGCCACCCCTGCCACCCCGCCACCCGCCACCCTCCACCCCTCCACCCCGCACCCTCCACCCCGCCCACCCGCCACCCCTCCACCCCTCCACACCGCCACCCCTCCACCCCCAGCCACCACCACCCCGCCACCCGCCACCCCGCACCCCTCCACCCTCCACCCCGCCACCCCTCCACCCCGCCACCCCGCCACCCCTCCACCCGCCACCCCTCCACACCGCACCCGGCCCTCCACCCCTCCACACCCGCCCACCCCGCCCACCCCTCACCCCGCCCACCCCCCTCCACCCCTCCACACCGCCACCCCTCCACCCCGCCACCCCCGCCACCCCGCCACCCCTCCACCCCGCCACCCCGCCACCCCTCCTCCCCTCCACTCCACCACCCCTCCTCCCCTCCACCCTCCGAAGTTCAGTGTCCAGCGGCTAAAATGGGTGTTGGAGGGCGCCTGGGTGGCTCCGTCAGTTGAGCATCTGCCTTTGGCTCAGGGCGTGATCCCGGGGTCCTGGGATTGAGTCCCACATCGGGCTCCCTGCATGGAGCCTGCTTCTCCCTCTGCCTGTGTCTCTGCCTGGCTCTGTGTCTCTCATGAATGATGAATGAATGAATGAATGAATGAATACTTTAATAAATAAAATGGGTGTCATGATTCCCTTGCTCTGAGAGCTAAGGGGTATATTGCATGTGAACTTTTGCAATGTTGTAGAAGCTCAGTAAGAGAGCCCTTATAGTATCCTGTTCTCTTCTGTTTTCCTTGGAGTGTGTCTTTGTGTTTCCTCAAGACTGACTTCTCTGATCTCATTTGTTCAGTTGTGTCTTGGTCAGTGACATTTCTACCTGTATCAGCTATTTCTCTTTTTGCTCCCCCCGCCTCTGTCCCTCAAGCCCCCGAACTCACTACTGTCCATGTGCCATGGGAGGGCCTTCTCTCCCCCCAGCTATGTCTTACACCTTTCATTTTTGTGGGACACATTGCTGGGACCAGTCTATTGTGTTTGAAGTATTCATTACTTTTGGTAGCAGGACAGGGATACATGGGTGGTGAAGACCTACTATGTGCCAGACGTTCTCATTATAGATTTTATTTAATATTTTTAAATGTTAAGTTCATAAATGATGCATAGATGTTTTTTTGTAAACATTTCAAACACTTTAGATAAAGGTAATGACCTTTTACTACTCCTGGCTTCCTCATCTCTCTCACCAAACGTTTATTCTGATGTATTTACCTTCCAGGCCCTTTTCTATACTTTTACATACAATATACATATGCATTCATACATCCCATATATTATTTGTGTGCATATGCGTATATGTGTGGGTTCATGTTGGATTCCTTAATTTTTTTTTAAGATTTATTTATTAGAGACACAGAGAGAGAGAGACACACACACACACAGTCAGAGGGAGAAGCAGGCTCCATGCAGGGAGCCCCACATGGGACTCGATCCTGGGTCTCCAGGATCATGCCCTGGGCTGAAGGTGACGCTAAACCGCTAAGCCACCGGGGCTGCCCTGGATTCCTCAATTTGCTATTTTCTCCTAGTATTGGGCCTTGAAGACCTGTACATAGTGCATACAGATTATTCTTTCTACTTTTTGCATAACATTCCATAGTGTGGCTAGCCATTTGCCTATGGAGAATACATGTTGTTTATATTTGTTACTTATCACAAACAATGCTATAATAAACATCTTCATTCATACGTGCAAATGTTACTCTGGGACAGAGAAGAAGTATTGCTGGGACATAGGTTGTATACATTGAATTGATACTACCAAATTATCTCCCCAGAAACTGCACCAATACATAAACTTAACAGCTATATATGAGAATATTTCCCCCCTATATTCATGTTGCTAACCTTATAAAGTGAGAGGTGCCTGGGTGACTCAATTAGTTAAGCATCAGACTCTTGGTTTTGGCTCAGGTCATGATCTTAGGGCCCTGAGATTGAGCCCTGACTGATTTGCACTGAGTGGGGAAACTACTTAAGATTCTCTCTCACTTTCTCCCCCTCTGCCCGCCCCCCCTGCTCTCTCATTCTAAAAAAAAATTTGTAAAATGGGTAATTGTTTTACCTTTCCTTCCCAGGATTAAGAATGAAAGTGAACATTCTCCATAACTTACAGTTTTCCTACGAGTTTGCCCATTTCTCAATTGGATTTTTTTCTAATTCATTGTTCAATGTTATATATTCTTGATAGTAATATATATATATTATTTTTTTTGCAAATACTTTCTTTGACTTTATAGCTTACATTCTAACTGTGTTTGTGGTCTTCAAGTTTCAAATTTGATGCACTCTTTTTCTCAGTGGCTTTGAATTTCACATCTTATTTCAGAACATTTTTCCACACCAAAATCATCAGGGCTTCCTCCTATATTTTCTTTTACTACTTTTTTGCTCTCCTTTTTATGGTTAGATTTTGAATTTATTTTTGTGATTGGTATAAACTGGGAGTTCTAATCTAATATTGTTTATGGTAATTCATTTATATTTTTAAAACACAGAGTGTGGGGTATTTACATAACAGAACTACAGAGATTGTAGTCCATGTGTGATGTGACTGATTTTCTGTCAGTCCAGTTATTTGGTCCTTCATTCATCGGCGGGATTTATTTACTGAGTAACTACTAGCGCTGGACACTGTGGTAGTATATGGAATGCAGTGGAGAAGAAAAAAGATATAACATCTGTCTTCATGGAGCTAACTTTCACTGCTGTGTGTGTTTTGGAGGAAAGGAACATATTTAAATAAATTACTTATGATTATGGACGGTTCTACAAAGTAGGAGTACAGCATGTTATGAGAGCTTATGACTGGAGGTCCTAATTCTGGTGGTAGTGCTGGTAGAGAGGTGCTTAGGGCAAAATTTCTTGATTAGTAACCTCTGGGCAGAGTTCTGAAGGATAAGTGGGCAGACTGAGATTGGGGGTGGGAGTGAGAAGTAGAGTGAGTAAGAAAGAATATTTGAAGTAATTGGAAATAGTGTATATGCAAGGGTCCTGAGGTGGAAAGGAGCTTCGGGTATTGGAGAAACTGAGAGGATAGGGTCTAGGGTCAGAGAAAAATAGAAAAATATATGAGATGGACCTGGTATTGTAAACAGGGATCAGATCTGATAGATCAAAGATCTTATAGACTAAGCATTATCTGCTACAGTTAATAGGAAGCCATTGAAGGATTTTAATTAAGTGACATGATTATATATACATTTTAATAAAATCCTTCTAGCCCCTGAGGAGAATGAAGAGTTCAAGAGGGGCTATAGAAAGGGGATTTACAAAGTTATTATTGTAGATCCAGTGCTTGGACTAAAGCCACAGTGTGGAGATGGGGGGCATTAGGTTGTTATTTTTTTCTTTAATAATATTTGAAGAGCAAAGAACTAATTATGAGGAAAATGGTTGCTTCTGCACTTGGAAGAATAATCTTGGAGAGATTATTTTCCAAAAGTGCTGGGAGTAATCAGTGGAGTGGGGTCCTCTGAAAGTGTGTATAGCTCTACTCTTTTAGTTGTTTAGTCCGAGACTAGCTGAATACCAGGTACAGAAGCAGATGGTTCTGGAAGAGTTATGTGTAAATGGCATTTTTATAATTGGAGTCCTTTAAACTTGCAAGGAGAATATGTCATTCAAAGGGGATGGTGAGCCACTTGGTCAGGCACTAGATGCTTAGGTGAATATGTAATCACATCCAATTCTTTGTGCATTGCATCTCAGCCTTTCTTGTATTGGAGTTTTAAATTTTTATCTCTAAGTTGATTGGTCATTTATGAATATAATGGAATTATAAGAGTCTGATAAAAACAGAGATGACTTTAGATGGACTTTAAGGAAGACAGCAGGAAATCTTTAGTCCGAGGTAATTGAAAAAAGTGGTCTGTAGCTGGGGAAGCTTGGGAAAGAAAGGCATATTCTCTATCTTTCTCTTGGGGATTTCTAATGTGCGTGAAGGTGACTAGAACTGAACAGGTAAAGCTGAATTTATTACTTGACAGGTAAGGGAGAGCTGTATCTCTCAAAAGTGACTTTGGGCTCTGTGAGTTACAAGGGAAAGACTACTTTGTAAATAAGGAAAGGAAGTTTTGCCCAAATAAGACAGGAACATAAGGTCACCATTTGATTGGTTGAGGAAAGGATTGTAAAGGCTGCTTTTGAAATGGCCACTGCTCTGGTTTACATCAGTAATAGTGGACACAGTTCTCAGTAAAAATAAGATGATATAATAGGCAGTTTTATATGTGTAAGCCTGGGAGTTAGAATTTTTTTTTCAACATAGCGTTAAATGTTCTGAGAAATTGAGTAGTGAAGGAACTTACTTAACCTTGTCTAACTCTGTATCTCCTCCAATTTGAGTACTTGAACCCTGCTCTTATTAACTAATATGTAATTGGAACATACCACAAAAACAATGGCTTTGCTTAAGTGTGTACATTTTTCAGGAACAAATTAACTCAAGAGCTCCTTGTCAAGGATTTGGCTCAGATGTATGCACAAACTCAACCCTGTCATTAGAGTTATGAGTAGTAGAAAAATAATTAATATCCAGGGATCTGAGTAAGGGGTTGTTTATGATATTGGATGACTTATCCAATGGATGACTCCTTGTGTAATTTCTTATTCTCTTGGAGAAAGTTGGGGTGTGTACATTTGGGGAAGGTATTTGGCTCTAGAGCCCTAAGAAACAAGGGGCAATGTGAAATCAAGCTACGGTATGTTGTCTCTGTGGCCAGGGCTCCTTTTCCCCAAAATAGCACTCTGGCTCCTGCAGGCACTGGAAGTAGACAACATACCTCTTGGGGACTTTGGTGGGACCATATTGGTGAAGATCTAAGACAGGGCTGCCTAGAAGTCTTGTAACTCATTTCATTCTTGATATTCAGGTGTTGGAGCTTCTTTGTTGGATAGACTTTTCCAACTCTGGTATTTCCAACTCCAAGCACTGATTTTCTGGGAGAATATAAAAAAAAATGTATTTTTGTCCCAACAGAATCAGTACCCGGCACATTGCTTGGTACATGATACCAACATATAAATAAAATATGAAAAATGCATGAGTAAATGGCACTATTTTGATTTTCGTGAATGTGGAGTTGTACTCTCACATTTTTTCTCTCCTTTATACGATCTGTCAAGGTGTTTTATGTTACCCTCTGTCTGCCATCAAATAGGTAACTCTTAGATAAGCTAAATCTAGGAAAACTAATATTTGTGAAACTTGAAAGCAGATTAAAAAAAAGTTTTTAATATAATATAATATAACCCAGGTGTCTCAGTTCCCCTAGATATAGGTTACCTGGAGCCATGCCCAAGCTAATGAAAGTCTGACGTTCTTCCTAAAATTTCTGCATATTCTGTAGGCATTGCTGTCTCTAATCCAAACCACATCATTCCAGACAAGAAACTCAGTTCTTCCTTGCATTACACACACAACATACACGTATGTGAATGAGTGTGACATACACGTCCTGCTCATACGTATATTTGGTAATGTAGGAGACTTTACTGAGGGTTCAAGGAGAAAGCAGTGGGACAGCATAGAAATGTGGTCTCAAATTGAGGATAAGCATCTCCATCCTTAAAATGTTCTGTAGGCTCCCCAACTTGGAGACTTCTGCTAAATTCCTCTTTTTGGCTCATTTCTCCTCTCTTTACTTTTCCTCTCTGAGGGGCACTTAGATATTACCCAGATTTTCTCATTCAGGGCAATTTAAACCATGCTTTTGATGATAGGGCTCTTGAAAATATTCATCCTTAGGGTCTCTCTGCCTTCAAATTCTAAGATAAATCAGATTGGACAGTTGAGATAATAACATTTTCATCTCATTACACTTTGTTTTGCTTTTGCAATTTTCAATTCAATATTAAAAGGAATGTGCATCAATCCTTTCTTTAAAAAAATCACAGTTTAATGGGCTTTTAATGATACACTTTCTTTGCTGTGGGAAGAGGGGTATGTATATATAATACTCATTCTTACAAACTATGGCTCACCTCCATCATCATTTTGTAATAAACTTTTTCTGCCAAATGTCTTGCCTGAGAACATGGTTAAATGAATGGGTTTGTCATTTGCCTTGAGGGACCTTATATGATAACCTTACATGTAAGCCCTGTCTTTAATGTAAACTGGGGGCTGAGTTTTCCAGGAAGAAAGCCTTCATAGTTGGCTCTCTGACTTCTTTTGGTTTCCTAGGCACCTGTCTTACCTAGATTGAAGCATAGGAACTGGCCTAATTCAGTTGGACATTTTCACATCATGTCCTCAAGTTTTGTTGTTATCTGGAAATAAACACCTTTACAGGTATGGAAACATTTGTATTCTATTAAAATTAAATTCCCCTTATCAAACAAAAACCTGGCTTATTTAAAACATTTTTGAAAGACCCATTAGAGTTGATTAGGAGCCTGACTATACTGTGAAGAAACTAAGTACTGAGAAAATGCGTGGGATGTTTTATGCCTTTGACAAGGAAATGAGGCAAGAAGAGTTATTATAAACAAACAGGGAGACAGGATTCCTTACATTTTTTTTTAAGTTACTGACAGTTGTCCTTGACCTTTGTGGTTTCTACATTCTGCTTATAATTGAGAAAGTCCTTAGTCCTACTTCATGCATCTGAAGGTATTCTGGGATTTCCTTGTTGGAAAATGAGTTCACTTCTTTTGAAGGAGGACTCTTGGTTCATTTATAGGTAACAAACTCTTTATAGGAGACCTTAACCGTCATAGTTTACTTTCACATTTTTATCTTCTCCACAGTCTTCTTTCACATTTAATTTTTGTATCTGTCGCATGTTGCATGTTTTACTCTGGATGATGAGTCTTTGGACAAGTCATTGTCTTCCTTAGGGCTGCTTTAACCTCCTTGTTTCTAATTGTGTAAATGAAGGGATTCAGAAGGGGTGTGAGTATAGTATTTAGCACTGACACCACCTTATTAATCTTAAAGGAAGAGTGTGTTGTGGGTCTCAGGTACATGAACAAGACAGCACCATACAGCAGGGAGACTACCGTCAGGTGAGAGGCACAGGTAGAGAAAGTCTTTTGTCTGCCAGTGGCTGAAGGGATCTGTAGGATGGTGGACAGGATATAGATATAAGAAATTACTGTGAAGAGGAGTGACCCTGGGATCACCAGGATGGTCGCCAAAAGACCCAGGAGCTCCAGAATGCTTGTGTCTACGCAGGCTGCTTTCAAAATGGGACCAACATCACAGTAGAAATGATTGATGACATTGTTGCCACAGAATGGCAACTGGATGAGCAGAAGCATCTGACAAAAGACAATGGTAAAGCCGACCATCCAGGAGCTGAGGGCAAGTTGCAGGCAGAGGTTACTGGTCATAATGGTGGGGTAGCGAAGGGGCTTGCAGATGGCCAGGTAACGGTCAAAAGACATGATGGTGAGGATAAAGAACTCAGTGGTACCCAGGAAAAAGTGGAAGAAGGACTGCAGTAGACAGCAGGGGATGGAAATGGTTGCTCTTGCCACCACAAAAGTCTCCAACAGTTTGGGGATGACTGTGGTGGTGTACCACGTCTCTAGGAAGGACAAGTTGCAAAGGAAGAAGTACATTGGTATTTGTAGCCTGGGCTCTGCCCACACAATGACAATTATGACCCCATTGCCCACAAGGGTTAATATGTAGATGAAAAAGATCACTATAAAGAGAGGGATTTGTAGTCCTTGGATATCAGGAAAGCCTAGCAGGATGAACTCTGTGATTGTTGTGCCATTTCTCATGTCCCTTGATAGTCTAGAAAGACGAGCAAGAAAGTAGGTCCTTAGAACCATGCTCAAATACAGGTTATGGACAAAAAAACAAAAAAAAAACAAAAAAGTATTCTGATTCTACTTAAAGTCCTTCATGATGTCTCCCTCCTCCCACATACACATATACACCCTAAGCACGCCTTCCTTACTCATGATTGGCCTGATCTTTGCCAGCTAAACCAGCTTCTTTTTTTTTTTTTTTTAAGATTTTATTTATTTATTCATGACAGACACACAGAAAGAGAGGCAGAGACATAGTCAGAGGGAGAAGCAATGTAGAACTCGACCCCAGGAGCCCGGGACCATGCCTTAAGCCAAAGACAGATGTGCAACCACTGAGCCATCCAGCAGTCTCTAAACAGCTTTTGATAGACTTTGAAAGTACTAAGTACACTTGATAACTGGAGAAGTAGTTTTCCATCCATATACAGCTATAAGGGTAATCACTGCAGTGTGTTATAACTGTCAATAATCCGTATGATTATTAGAAGTATATATAATGGTATGTCTGCATAAACTGAACTGTGGTCCATAAGAAATTAATCCACACTCCTCTATTATATTCTAAAAGAAATTCTTGGTTTATATTATAAATACATTTTAAAAAGCTGATTTTACAACTCCCCACCCCCCGTCTGTGTGTGTGTGTGTATTTCTACAACTAAAAACCATAGCTGTTGTATATTAGCAGTGAAATACAACTTAGATAATAGAACAGATGTTTTTCTCAAGAATCCACTTCCAAATCCTAATTCAGACTCTTAACAAAGGAGACTAAAAAACATTCAAATGAAATGAATAAAATTGCTAAGCAAGTAGGAAAATGTACTAAACTTTAATTCAAAATGCCAAGACCAGCTGAATTAGGGCCTAATATGCAGAAGTACCTAATCAATGTATACTGGATAAAGATCCATAGACACGAAACTAAAAAAGCGAAAAGGCTAGCAAATGCTTGGGATAACAAAGTGGATCCTGGAAAATACATCCCTACCAAAACCTTCCTGTATGACTAAGTATCTTTTCATACCAAGCAAGGCATTTCTATTTGTATCTGCAAATTCATAGGTTGAGAACTTTCTTCTTGTTCTCTTAAAATTCACTGGAAAACAGTAACACTACTTCCTATCTTATTGAGGAGGATATATTATTCTTCCCCATGGTTCTTCTTTGCAATGGATAAGGTAATTGCTGTGAAATGAACTGCCCCGTTTTCAAAGTATGGGAAACTTTGCATGAAAGAGGCAGCTCATAGTTTATTGATATATGACTTAATTCTATCCCCATATGAGAGAACAAGAACTCTCTGAGAGCCTAGAGGAGAAAAATACTTCCATTTCCTCCCACTCTTTTCTAGACCAGGAAGGATTATTTTTTTGCCTATTAAGTCAAAAGCTTTAGTTATTTCCCATGAGACTATCAGAGACACAGAAGTATTTGAATTTGTACTAATGGTCAATATCTTCCATTATCTGGCCTTGTCCCTCAAAATAGGGCAGATACAGATTTATCTTCGTTCCCCGCTCAGAAGGAGTGGCAGTCTCTCCTGGTTAATACAAAATCACTAAGGGCTAAACATTCCATAATTTGGAGAAGAGAATTAAACCTATATATTCCATAGGCATTTGTTGAGAGCTTCCTATGTTCCAAGTCCTGCTCAGGGACTAAGGAGTTTATCATTTAAATAGGGAGGGTGATAGTGTAGGGAGTGATAGTGTAGAGTTGGGCACAGAGTGTTTTGGGAACACCCAGAGAGACCCCTTACCCAGCCTGGGTGGGGATTAGAGAAGGTTTTCTAGAGAAGGAGAGGCCTAAGGAGTTCAACAGGAAAAGAGAGTGGGGTAGGGAGGGCAAATGCATTCCAGACAAGGCCTGAAGCTTGTGAAAGACGGCCAAAGCAGAAAATTCAGCTGGAACTGGAGCTGGGAGGTGGGCCTGTCCCGGCACTTCTGATAAGCTAACAGATGGGGTAGGCCTCCAATGAATCAGTTTACATGATGGGTTCGTAAGACTCTTGGAGGAGTGAATCTTGAGCCAGGGAGTTTGCGAACCTGGGGCAAATTTTTGCATATGCGTATGTGAGGAAAATACAGTGTCACCTTCTTTGCCAACCTGTGTACACGTTTATCTGTGTTTCATGAGGAAGGGGCTGCAGGTAGTAATCGAATGTGCTCCCTGGTCACAGACAGCACTGCTATGTATCTAGGTGACAAAGCAAGGCAGAGGCAATGCAGACCTTATGCCCTTTTGTAAGGGCCATGACTTGGCTTTGGCACCACGAGGACCCAGGAGTGGCAGCAATGGTGTCAGCTGAAATGGTAGCAGCAGAAGTGGCCATGCCTGGTGAGAGCAGTGGCCCGAGCAGCAATGGCAGGGGTGCCCCGCAGAAGGGATGTAGAGCAAAAGAGAAGTGGCAGGAACCTGGCGGTAGCTGTTTGGACAACTGATTAGACTGGGTGGTGAGCATGTGTGAAGTTTTGTAAGATTTGGAGGAAGGTCAGATAGCGTGAGTTAGCAGGTAATAGCAATATTCAAAGAAAGGAAAATAACCTTGGGAAGCTAAGGTGATAAGGTTAAAATACTGGATTAAATATTGCAGTCGACATGCTTACCAGATTTAAATAGAGTCTAGACTCTTTTTCTTTTCCTTTGGAGAAGTTACAACATAGTCATATGGTGTTGCTCCTCATTTCACCGTGGCAATTGGTAATTGTTCTGTTCCTGTTCGCTCCTTACTCTTCAATCTGTTTCTCCTTTCTCTTCCAGGCTATTTCTGTTCATGCCATTATCTTCCATTAGCATCAGTACAGCCTCCTAGCTCCCTCTCCCCTGACCTGTCATACTCTTTCCTACCCACGTTTCAAATTGTAGCAAGAGTGGTCATTCTCAAACACAATTCTGACCATGGTGCTCCTCAGGACCATCAACGCATTCAAGGCATTGAATCTGCCGTTTACCTTCCCCATTCTATGCACCATGCTTATTGAGTTACCCAAGTGTAGAGTCTGGCTCACTATTTGTAAATAAGGTTTCCCTGGAACCAGGCTAATTCATTTACATATTGCCTGTGGCTGCTTTGGTGCTGCAGTTGGCAGAGTTGAGGAGTTGCAGCAGAGGCTACAGAGCCCCCGAGGCCTAAAATACTCCTGAGCTGGCGCCCTTTAACAGCCACAATTTGCTGACCCTGCTCTGGTTCTCTGAAGGCGCCATCCTCCTTCTGGGTCACCTAATCACCACACATACTATTACCTTGTGGCCTGCGTCCTCCGCAAGTGTCTCCAGCATTTGGCTAAGTCCTATCTTACTTCTAGACCCCAGCCGAGGAGCTATGTCATGGGAAGCCTTCCCTGACTCCCCATGTCCACAGTCTAGCTCTGGTGCTACTCTCACTCCCTGTAACCCCCTGGGCATTTCCATATCTGAACATTTACAAAATTGTATTTACATTTTTTGGGGGCTTCCTCCACAAACTCTAAGGCCCTGAGGGCAGCAAAAATATCTGTGGGGCCTATGCATGGGCTTGGCATAAAATAAACCCTCAAGAGAGATTTTCTAAAGGATTATATAAATGGATAGTTTGTGGACACTGTGTCCCCACTTACCTATGAGTTTATGTAGACATACATGTATATGTGTATAAAATGCTACTGTTGTATTTCAAATGCTGGAGACATAGCAGGGACTGTTTGCTAAATAATTTGTTTCCAAGTCCACTGCTGCTGCTTCCAGCTTTTATGTAAATGTTGCTGCATGCAAATCTTTCTGCTCCATCTTTCCCTAATCAGGGCTTTGTGTTTCTTACTGTGTTCTGGTTATTCTCCCAGATTTCCAGATTGCCCAGAGTACAGAGAGTTTTCTTAACCCACTTGGCGCTTAATGCTCAATGGTAGAGTGGAATCATTTTCTCTGAGCTATGTTGTTGCAATCAAGTATCCTTCATTTTCCTTAAACATGTCATGGTCTCAAAAGAAGAAAAATAAATAGAAAAGTATTAACAAATATTTTTTTCTGAATCTGGGCAATATGTCCCAAACCTCACCTTTTGTTTGTTTGCTTCTTCATTTGGCTTTTTTAAAAAAAACTGTTGCTGGGGGCAATTTCAGTTTTATCATGTACTGAATTTGAAGATGCCCAATACCGGTATGACCTTAAAGCAGAGGCACCTAGATTATACTCTATAAACTCCGCAAAAGGAAGTGCATCAAGAAGCACTACTTAGAAGACTGTGAAAAACAGGAATGCAAATAAAGACAGCCAGTTTGAAATTCATCCCAAGGATTGATGGATGTGGGTAAAATGCAGTGGATTAAGACTGCTTGCTGGTGCAAGCCCAGTCACAGTTATGACTTTTCTATATGATACTGAGATGCATTTACTGGAATTTATTTCAAGGTTTCAAGGCATCAACGCTAGCCATATCTATTCGTTCTACAGAAGAGTAACACTTTACCCAGAATAGTACTCTCTGCTTTTCTGTAGCAAAGCAATACTCACAGTACTAATGATTCTCAGGGAAACAGATCTGGTTCTCAGGCGGGTCCTTATCCTCCAGCCGACTGAAAGAGAACGAGAGATTTTTATCAAGGCACAGCATTGAAACAAAATTTCCTTCTCCTTTTTTTTTTCCTTCTCCTTTTTTTTTTTGTACCAGGAAAATGAATCTCTCTAAAATTTAAGGTAAGTGCTGATATGCATTGCTGAATTCTATTTGTAAAGCTTTCAAGAAATAGAAAGATGGCTTCAGTGTTTAAGAGAATTGTGTTCAAAGTGATTAATAGATCAGTTCACACTAAGTCACGATTTCGTCTCTCAAAATAACGAGTTGTTAGTGGGGCACTCTCCTAGCTTCCTCTGGGACATTGTCTCCATGGATGTGCTCCAGAGACTCCCAGGAGAAAACAAAGTCTCACTAAAAGTTAATTCATAAGTCAAGGTAGGGCACTGGCGGTTCTCTAAATTCTAATTGGTATCAATCATCCCTCCACTCCTGAGATAATCAAAGTATGAGAATTCATGACTTT